CCATAGCCAGATCCATATTCTGATTCTGGCTGCTCGAACTGAGGCTTCCGTCCATAGCCAGATCCATATTCTGATTCTGGCTGCTCGAACTGAGGCTTCCGTCCATGGCCAGATCCATATTCCGATTCTGGCTCCCCGTACTCCTGCTTGCGGCCATAGCCAGATCCAAACTCTGATTCGGACTGCTCATACGCCGGCTTCCGCCCATACCCGGATCCATACTCGGATCCACCTTCGTCCTCCGGCTTTTTTCCATATCCAGAGCCATATTCGGGTGGAGGTTGTTGATACTCCGGCCTTCTGCCATACCCAGTTTCAGATCCGGAAGCAGTTTGAGGCATGCCCCCATATCCACCACCTCCGGGTCGCGGCTTGGGTCGGGCGTAGCTGCTGTACTCATTTTGAAGCGCCTCCTCACCGTAGGCAGCCGGCTCCGCGTCGGAGGAGAAGTTGGGGCGATCATAATCGAAGTTCCCATCGGAAGCTGTGGAGGAAGGGTAGCATGTCTCCTCGGAAGGCGGCAGAGGGCGTCCATATTGCGACTGAATGTCGTAACCACCACCGTATGGCGTGGGATCGTACTCGTCGAATTCGACGTCGTCCTCGGCTGCCCTCGAGTAGTAAGGCATCGTCTCAGTTATGAAAGCTGCTTTTCCTCTTTTTCCAGTTTTTGGCTTCTGCGATCAGGTGAGTCTGCTGTACTTCCGTGGAATTTATAGTTTTATACCGTGAAGAAACTGTAAAGACAGGGTTTTTTTTTCGGTTTTTTCTTGTCGGTAAGGGTATAGTTATTGTATTTTTTTATTATTAATTATATATTAATTATATAAAAAAATTTATTATTAATTTTAATATTTATGACATAATAATTTATCAAAATAAAATTAATATCAATTTTTAATTTTATTATATGTATTAATGATAAAAAGTAATAAATACATTTTTAAAAAAGAAATTTTAATGTTTGGGTTCCAAACGGTGTCGTATAAATAGATTTTTCCTTTTTCAGTGGGGGGAAACCAAACGCGTTTGAGTGTGAACAGTGGACACGGTAGTTGTAGGCGATGAGTGTGGGTGGGCCTCGGCTTTGATGTCTTTTTCCGATATATCATCATGGCGGTTGGATTTGGTGATTTGGTTGACCTTTGGGCCCTCTAGATTTTTCATCTTGGGTTGGGCGGTTGGATTTATTACGTTTGGGCTAGATTTATGTTTTG